GTGGGGCCACATAAAATGAAGTCACAGGCCAGATTTGGCCCCCGGGCCTTGAGTTTGACACCCCTGCTATGGTCATAACATGCAAGACAATTATCTCACAATATTGCACTCATCTAATTGTTATTTACATGCAGAAGTGCAAAAGCACACACAGCATGACACCTGTGCAGTTTTTTTTACAAATGGTCTCCCCTTCCATCCCTTTTCCAGGTGGACCTAAACGAAATCAGTGAGGATTTTATGTAAGTGAAATAAAGTTTATTTATTGGATACATTTTACAGGAATGTTCAAAATGTTTTCAATGCTTTGCACCAAATGAAAATAATAATAAGGCATACATAATTGTCAACCAGAGAGAATCCTTTAGAAATATCCTTCATTATTGCTAATTGGATATCATTATGAAATCTTCTCATTGTAATGCACTCCATGCACACTAGAGGTCAGTAATTCCTAATTCATCAATACAACTATTCATACAATTTTTGTTGTACTATTCACATTCAACTAACCTGCCATATATTTTACATCTCATCACACAGGACTTGTATAGGGAGTAAAGTCACTTTTTTTCCACTGCGCCACATTTTGGCATTGATTCACCTGTGATCCCGAATACTTCATGCATGATTTGATGTCAGAGGTGTGTAAATCTGTTGGGAATTAAAAAGCCTAAAGGATTTTGCAAATCTTTTATTCAGAGACCCTGGACTGGATTTAGAAGCTGCACTGAAGGAATCCTCCGCTGCACTGGACCTTTTTCTAAACAACAGGTTTTCTGATGCTTTGGCTCTGTTAAAACCCAGGTAAGCTGCCGGCTCTTTTTAAAAACATTTATCTCCAGCTGACTCTGCATCATGATGCAAAGCTGTTTCACACTTCTGTCTGTACTTTAAACATTATGGCATTTGGTTACTTGTTATATAAAATATAATTTGCATTTTGTCTTAAAAAAATCATTGCATTCATTCCCCTTCAGGAAGAATCAGAGCATGTACCACGCCATGGGCTACACCAGCATCTTGGTGATGCAGGCAGGCATGACCTTCGACCCAAAGGACATGGATAATGCCATGGCATCTCTGAGGGAATCCCTGGAGACATGCCAAAAGTATGACAGATTCATAGAAGTTTGGATTACATATTATAAAAAATGTCACGGCTTATATATACACAATGCAGAGGGTGCAGAGATTCAATGTGCATTTCAAACTACCGTTAATACTGCATGCAACAGTCCATACAGTGTAAGGGCAGCTGCATCATAACTGCTATAACTATATAAGAGTTTAAATAAATGGTAAGAGATTTGGATACATTGCATGAGTGCACTGGTTAATTGAAGCATACTGATCCTTTTCGGGGGGGGGCGAAAAGAGACGGGCCTAAGTGGCTGAATAAAGGTAGATTCAGACAGATAGCGTGAGAACAAATAATGTGTGTTGGGATAAACACAAGTGTGAAACTAAAAAAACAGCATAGTATGACTCCTTTTTTAAATCATCACCCTATACTGTGTGTTCCTCAACATAGGTTTCGGAAGAAGACTGGAATAGTGGAAGCTTTAACCAGCCTCTTGTACAGACAACCAGCTGACAACCTGACAGAAGGCAAGTGAAAATACTTTGGATTTATGACATAGAGAGAAGACGAGCCGTGTTAAAGTGTCAAACTGTTTTATTAGAAATAACAAACTGCATATTGATGTTACGCCCTGCTACTGATTACAGTTCCCAGTGCCATCTCTCTGAAGCTTTGAAAAGTTTATTTTTTTTTACCCAGCATGTGACATTTGATTCTTGTTAACAGAGGAGATGCATGCAGAGCTGTGCTATGCCGAAGTTCTGCTGCAGAAAGCTGCCCTCACATTCCTGGATGAGAGTATAATCGGATTCATCAAAGGAGGGATGAGAATCCGAAACAGTTATCAGATATACAAGTAAGAAGCTTGAAACGGGGATTTTGCTTGGGACATGATGCCATAACGAGACGCCGATAAAAGTGGTTAAAAAAACTGACTTGGGTCTATTTTCTTAATGATATGTTCTCTCCCCTACCAGGGATTGCCAAGCCATGGCCAGTACCACAAAAGGCATGGAAAATCCAAGTAGCACCCACATTCATTTCAGAGGCGGTGTGAACATGGGCATAGGGTCCTTTAATCTGGTGAGAGATGCAGGAAGTCATCCAGTATGCACATCATTATAGCTGTGCTTTTGCACTTCTTTAAGATGTATTTTATTTACACATATGTTGCATTAGATTAGACTTAATGAAAGCTACTGAAATGGCTGGTAGAACAAAGTATTTCCTTTTTTAAATTGTCATAACTACCTAAGCTAACCTACTTCTTCTTGTCAGATGCTGTCTCTGCTCCCATCCAAAGTCCTCAGACTGATGGAGTTTTTGGGTTTCTCTGGGGACAGGGTAGGTCTCATCAGTCACTTCTATTTTCAGTAAAAAATTGTATATAAACTATGATAACCTTTTTTTCTAATCTTACAGGAATTGGGTTTGTCAGAGTTGAGAGAGGGAGCGGCCGGCGACAGTCTGCGCTCCATCCTCAGCACCCTGACTCTGCTGATGTTTCATCTCTACATCACAGTGATTCTGGGTACATTTCTTCCAGACATCCAACCCCCTTTTCATTTATTCGTAGATAAGAATTTTCTCATTATAACCTCCATCAAAGGAGGTGTGGTTTGTTATTTAATTTAAAAACCACTATGCCAAGTTGTTGCATGGGCCAAGGACAAACACATTGAAATCTAGGGATGTTCATAATCACAGGGCAGATGCACACATTATTTTTCACTTATGGAAAAATAATAATAATAATAGCTTAGATTTATATTGCGCCTTTCATGGGACCCAAGGTCGCTTTACAAGGCAGAACAGGGCAAAACAAACATAACATAACATAACATAACAAAAGGCAATCGGACAACCAGTCAGACAGACAAAAAAGACATTGGAGGTGGTCTGTGCCCCCCCTGTCTCATTGTAATGGTCACATTTCTTAATCTGGTCATTGTATTCCCTCAGGCACTGGTGAAGGAAACCTTACTGAGGCTGAATCTCTTCTGGAGCCCTACATTGACAGGTTTCCAAATGTGAGTAAGATTAAAAAAAAAACATTGTTTTGCTGATTCTAACTCATAGCGATGAGTCAAATGGCATCATTTTTAATTAATTTGCTTCTCGTCCACAGGGAGCCCTCATTCTCTTCTACACTGGGAGAATTGCTTTGCTGAAAGGAAACTTCACATTTGTGAGTACTGGTAGTAACCAACAGGATGTGTGTTCAGGCAGCTCAGGCAGTTGTTGTTGAGAAAAAGCTGAAATCCCATGAATCTGTTTCTCTGCAGGCCCAGGAGAAGTACCTGGCGTGTATCGGAGCACAGCAGGAGTGGCGTCAGATTCACCACCTTTGCTACTGGGAGCTGATGTGGGCCTACACCTTTGAACTAAAATGGAGGGAGGCGTATCAATACGCTGACCTGCTCTGCAAAGAGAGCAAGTGGTCCCAGGTAGAACATAAAACATGTTCTTTTTGCCTTGTCAATCTGATTGTATAGATATTGACATTGGTTTTACCTGATTGCTCTTCTCTTGCAGGCCGTCTATACCTTCCAGAAAGCGGCCATCTTGAGCATGATGCCAGAGGAGGAAGTGACAGGACTGGGAGAAAATGTGGAGGACTTATTCAGGTTTGTGAGAGAGAACCATAATGAGGCTTGGTTTTAAGTTCTGTAATCATCATAAAGTAACAGTGAGACATGTGGTTTGATTGTAGGCAGGTGGATGGTCTCAGACTGAGGATTGCTGGGAAGTCGATTCCAACAGAGAAGTTTGCGGCAAACAAGGCGCAGCGGTACTTTTCTTCTGACCCACAGAAACTAGTTGTGCCTGCTTTGGTGAGGATGCACATTCACTCCCTCTTTTAATGACTTTAAAAACAAACCTTGATGATAATACTAAAAGATGTTAACTGTTGTTTTCCCCGCAGGAAATGATGTACGTATGGAATGGATTCACAGTAGTTGGCAAAAGACCTGAGTTGACTAAAAGCATCTTGACCGTCTTGGAGAAAGCAGAGGAGCAGCTCAGAGATGATCCTAGTGAGGAACAGAATAACTTTAAAGCACATAATCAGTTGTTTTAGCGTCAATGTGAAACTAACAGGTTGTTTATTGTATTCTTAGACCCATCAGTGTATCACCTGGATAACCAGTGTGTTGTGCAGCTGCTGAAGGGTCTCTGTCTCAGAGAGCTCGAGCATCTGGTCCAGGCCGAGCTCTGCTTCAATCATGTCATTTCAAGGTGAGGCCACCATGGTGCCATTGAAAAACACTTTCTCATGAAACCCAGGGGTTGAAAATAATCTCAACGTGTCAAATAATCATATACAGTTATATACTGTTCAACACTTTGTTAATGTTTTGCATATATTGCTTCATCTCTCTACAAATGTTACACTTTTTCTGTCAATTTCCATTTTATCAAGTTTTAAAAAAAATGTTCTGTCCTTCTGCACAGCTGTTCCTTTGGTTAGAGTTTGCATCTGAACAGACTCTATAAAGTTCATTTTGTAAACTTTACAAATGCATTTGCTAGATGTATACAAGTCACATTATGTAAACCAACTGCTACACATGATGTGAATAGCATTAGCTGTGTTTTTGCTATACCTCATCTCTATGAACATGACGTTCCTAACTTTGGGTGTCATTGAAACTTGCAGTAACTGCCCAACTGAAATGTAAATATAAGCACTCACTATTAAATTGACCCACTGAAGTAACNGCTGGGCCTGTTGCACAAGCAAAAAGGTGACACCAACACAGCCATCAATTTGATGGAAGACATCAAGTAAGTGTTTTAAGCGCATCCAAATTTGTATTTATCACATTTGCTTTATTGTCTTTAAGTCAAGGTAGTGCTTCCCAAGATGCTTGGATGAAATCTGTCTGAAGTCGCATACTGCTATAACACAAAGAGCTGATCTTGTTTGCAGAATGAACTACAAAGACTACCACATGGAGTCCAGGCTACACTTCCGCATCCATGCAGCGCTCAACACCATGGGATCTTTTGCAGCCAAACTTCCCCCTTCACGTACTCCGGCTTAAGAGACCACATGACGGGAAGCTTGACAATGGCGAAAGAAAAAGCATAAATAAAACAAAGTCTCTGTTTGAACTCTGTGACTGTACTGGAAAAAGTATCCAGGTGGGCTTCTTGCTGTTGCCCCCATGATGAGGGCATGCATCCAAACTCGCAGTTGCAACCCTGGGTAGTATGGTAATATTTTTGTAATTATTTGTAGTGCTTCTAGAGCAGGAACAGTTAAGCGGACTCAGTAATCGACTTGTATAAATGACTTGAAGATGACTATTATTCCTGTTGAATGACGCTATACCATGTCAGAATGAAGGGTGAAGAATGCTATAGAACAGGAGTGTCAAACTCAAGGCCCGGGGGCCAAATCTGGCCCGTGACTTCATTTTCTGTGGCCCCACAAGAGCTTGCAAAGAATATAATATGTTTGTTATACGGTTATATGCCGCTTTACAGAAGCAAGTTGCTCATAAACTACATGTCCCACAATGCATCTCAAATATGCCTTTTTTCTCAGAATCAATTTTTTGTTTCAAAATGTCACTTCTTTTTTTTGACTTTTCTTTCTCCAGAATTTGGCTTTTCTTTTAAAATCATTTTGTGACATTCTTACTGAAGAGACTTGCAATTATTTGCCCTAGACTTCTGCTTT